GGGGGGGGGGGGACATGTGGATGCCATGTGGTCCACTCCCATCCAATCGTTTCCACTGTCTGTGACAAAGAAACCATGCAAGGAGGGGGAGTGTCCTCCTTCCTGTTTTATGATCATCACAGACCCTCTGATATCAAACTGTGATCAGCTCAACGATTGTCCAAAACCTGGAATCAAACAGATGCCTTGACTTTTTCTTTCTCTGTGTTGTCTTCGCAACACGCTGTAAAAAAAAAAGGGGGGACTTTTTCTCCTTTTTCCACCTCTTTTGCTGTAACCACTGGACTACTTAACTGTGCTGACTCAACGTGAACATGAACACCAGAGGAGGGAGAGGGTGGTGGGGGGGTGGGGGGGATTACATCACATTTGTCACTTCCTCTTACTTGTGTCTTAAGAACAGACCAACTGGAGCTCGGCTCTGACTGTAACGCTGGTGTACCACTGCCTTTAGGTTCCCTGTCAGTGTATTGTTTGAGATGACGAGGACTGTTTTTTATATTAAAGGGTGTGACTGTTTGTTTTTGTTTTGTTTTTTAACTTACAGAATGTAGCATTATGTGCGTCGAATTAACACGTGGCTTTTCTGCGGCCCGAAGGCCAAAATGTCTTTTTTTTATCTGACTGTAAAGAAAAATGGAAGTGCATTCCAACAAGTTGTTGCTATTCCAGCCTCTGTATATTCATGACTGTCTAAATATGCAGCTTTTGTTTTATTCTACACTGGCATTTTTTTTTTTTACTATTCATTTTACAGTTTCAGCAAGAAGACTTAAACAAAGACCCCATTTTTCGCCTGTTATTATGCAATGTGTATCTGCGTATGCTGTCTCCGTAAGCATGTTAAAGCATAAGCCCGGTGTTATTCTGAATTTTTCCATCCAATCCCATAAAAAGACCAGAATAACCAACAGTGTGTTAGCCCGTCTCTCGATACTTTCATTCCTACTGAAGTCGAAAATCTTTAAAAACATCAACTTTCATTATAGAAACTTCCAAATCATTTCCAAAAACAACTGTGTTTGTAGCAGATGTAAAAATAAAAGAGTAAATAATGCATTCAGTGTGCACCGTGTTAAGTCGTTGACTAATACACATCAGTGAGTATCTGTGGCAGCAGGAGGTGTCTGTGGGATTAATTCAAAGTAAATTATAATGCCCATTTTTGGTGGCAGTGAAGAGAATATGTCACACAGTGCAACAGTCTGACTCACTCGTGTTTTTATCGTTTCCTTTCCGGCTTTGGATACAAAAATAACACTTTGTTAGGATGATCAATTAATTGTTTTTTTTGTCTTTTTCATGAGAATTAAAAAATTTTGAGTACTGCCACATTTATCCTTTAATGCATCAGAACTACTAGATCTACCACTGGGTGGGTTAGACTGGATCTAGAGCTCTGGATTGTGTGACTAGTGGTCAGTGTGTACACAGTCTTTACAGTTTTGCCACATTTAAAAGGAAAAAAATACACAAACAAGCTTAAAGGTCACGTAACGCTACTACTTCCTGCCAATTGAAGCTGCAAAAATCAGCACACGATCACTCCCACTGCAAATGGAAAAATGTATAGGGCTTGAAGGTTCAACCTAAAGTCCAACTCACTTGTTGTTTACAGGTCGTCTTCGAACAGGCAGTGGTGTTACAATCTCCCCCTCATATATGAAAAAAAATACTTCTATACTATCTCTGTCTTCTGAGAAATCTTATTTATTTTATTTTATTGTCAATATTCCAAGATAATTTATTTATAATAATAAAACATATCATATTTGTCATGGATAGAATGAATAGGTTAAGTCAAGTCGAATAGGTTAAGTCAAGTCGCGGGTTCTCATTTAGAACCTTTTATCAAGACTCATATAGACATTTAATGTCTGATATTGAGTTAATACAGAAAAATAATAACTTGGAGCAAAACAAATGAATCACGTGAACGGTCGATAAAATCGATAGACACCAGACATCTGAAAACCAAGTTATATCATAAAAGACAGCAGCTGTTAAACCAGATGCAAATGTTTGTTATAAAAACATATTAACACCTAAGAAGACATTCAATCAGGCAGCCATCGTTCAGCCTTTATCATGAGATGTTGTTTAAAGCTTTGGAAATGACATGCAAGTTCCACTGGGGGTCAATTTTAATTTATTTTTGTCTGACATTGAACCTGCCTGAGCTTTGCTGATCTAATTTGCATATTTATATCCAATCACAATGCAGAATTGAGACATGAAGAACACTTATTAATACCAGGTGTAAATCCAGAGGCCTGTGATTTCATTATCCAGATACATATCACATATTAATACCAGGTGTTAAATGGGGTTGTGGTCTATTACAGGCTTTTGTTTTATCAATATACACATTCAGCCGTAGTTAACCTACAAGCTGATGGTTTTTTAAGTGTTTTTTGATACATTTCAACAAAGATCCCAAACCAGACGTGTGATTGTAACTCCTCTGTGCGGCTCCTCTGCAGCAGTAGCGTATCACCGCCTCGCCTTGTGCCACGAGCTGAACCAAGCACAGTGAACACACCGCCTCCATCTGACAGCCTTACTCCCCCAGATGTGGAGGACCAGCGATGGGGGCACATCTGTCCCTCACACTGACCCCCTTCTTCTCTTTCCACGTCCCTAAAACTCACTGTCACGCCGAAACTCGCCCCCATGTTTAGCCTCTCTGTTGTAACTACCTTCAGTATGTTGAGCCACAGCACTACTGATTGTCTGCGTTTCTGTCCAGTGAAAACATGGTTTCAAAAAGCCCTTTACAGTTCTGGAAAATATCCAAACAGCAGGTCCGATGTGTGTGACATTGCATCCGAGTAATTAAAATGCAGATGTTTTTTTTTACTAAAAAAAAAGAAAGCATGCTAGAGTTATTTCGGGCTCCAAAACTTTTTTATAATAACTTGTTTTCTATCATTTTGAAGGTGCCTAAGTTATGATGATGCAATTTTACGAATGTTTTTACTTTTGAAAAACAAGTGGCTTGTAAAAAGAATTTGTAGATTTGTCTTGTATTTTCTTCATTTTGGTAACTTGTAGCTTGTATAGTGTGTTAGGCATTTCATTATTAAACCATTTATTCCTTATATGCCCTCTTCTGTCACATGTTTTTGGAGTGTGGGAGGTTCACGTAGTTTATATTTGATAAATGATTTCATATATTTGTGGTTTTGTGACTTATATTAACTGGTTCTGCCTTCTGTTTTTAAAAGTTTTTGTTCTCATTGGTCGTGTTGAAACGCTGGACCTGAGAATTTTTCGTGAAAAGAGGAGCAGACTTGTTTTCACAAGAGCTTTAGAGGAACTTCTGTGAAGGGAGGATGGTTCTGTGGTAGGCTTGTGGTTTTACAGCTTAAAAAAAAAAACGGACAGAGAGCCCCGGACTTCCTGATTGCCGCTGCTCACACAGCTCACTTCAGAGAGGGCTTTTTAAGAGATCTTGCTCTCAGCCGTCAAAGGAGCAACACAACAAACCTTTCATCTTATCTGGAGCTCGCTTGGTAAGATGTTGCAAACGCCGCTCTTCGCTGTCATTCTGCTGATCAATCCTACCTGCAGGGGTGAGGATTAGTAAATGTCATTTCTTTGAGCTCTCGCGGAAAGGTTTTTTTTAAGATTTTTCTAGCACTGAAAATGTCGTAGACACTGAGTGGATTTAACGGTATCAAGACATCTTAAAGTTTGTGGTGGAAGTGGTGGTGGTGATGATGATGGTGACTGATAAAGATGGTGTGTTTTCTGTGTCCAGAGGCCATTGGAGACATGAACATATGTTACATCCTGGATGGGATTCTCATCCTTTACGGCATCATTCTCACCGTCCTGTACTGCAGACTAAGGGTAAGACAAACAGGAACACACACACCACCATGATGAAAGAGCAGAACTGATCCTAATGCTTGTTCTAACGATATTCAGAGTTATAATGCTGACAAAAGATATGATTATTTACAATAAACTTCTCACACTTTGAGAGGAAAGTCTGAAACTGTTCCGGCATGTTGTACCTTCGTGTTCACTGTAGTGATGTAGTTGACAACTTTTTAAAAATCGTTTGCTAGTCTAATCTCACAGATTGGAGCCTATTTTGCGCCTCGTAGTAAATATGTGAAACACACAATCATATGAGCTTCCTGATTTCTTTTTAACAGATGAGTCCAGCCAAGACGCCTGACAATCAGTATGAGGTAAAATTAAAGTTGTATATTTGTGTTGTTGTGACAAAAACTACTTGAAATGTGCTTGGAAAAGGTTTTTTTTTAATGCTTTTGCATTGGTGGTGCCCGCTAAGGCAGTAGTTTTGTTTTAAAGCCAACGTCAGTCTATCATTTCCTGTAAGCTTGAGCTGACCACCAACCTACATTATTTATACACTGTACAGAGTCACAGTTTCCACCAGCGTTTCTTCACACAAAACAAGTGTCAGATCCCACTTCCTGCTACATGTATAGTGCATTTAAAATGACATTGTGTTGATGCTGAAAGCTTAGAATAATTTAAGTAATTCACACTTATAAACACCACTTTAAAGACACAGACTGGAAAGAGGAACCCGATCTTTCAGATAAGGCCTCTGGTGTATTTAGGAAGAAATGACTCTTATTCTTACTGAAGCTCACTTGATAATTCCTCTGAACTGTTTCCGTCCCACAGAAGCAGCCCGCAGAGGGAGGCATCTATGCGGTGAGACTTCTCATTCTAATGCTTAAAAAGACTTTTAAAAAGGCACATGATGGAAAAGTGACAGCTTACCGCAAAGCGGACGGTAAAAGCACTTTTTTTTGTTTGTTTATATTCGCCTACCTGGCTGGCAGAAAAAACAAAAACATTTCACACCAAAGTGCAGGAAATGCTCACCGCATTGTTTTATAGAAATGTATTTTTACACATTACATCAGGTGTTCTTCTCACTATTTTTTCCTTCTGTCTGTGTGTCTCAGGGTCTGACTTCCCACAGTACTGACACCTACGAGACCATCAAAATGGACAAAAAGCCTATCGTCTGATAAAGGAACATTCGGTGCAGAGTAGATGCTGAGCACAGAAACAGCGTTGGGTCTCTTAAAGCTTTATACTGTATATTTAGTGAGCTGATTTATAGTTATATATGCCTTTTCTTCTCCCTTTTTTATTTTATTTTTGTAAAATACGTTTGCTTCTAATCTTTGTGTCATGCATGCATGAAATGTTCAAATTAAATTATTTAAGAATTTACTAATAAAGGCTATGTCCGTGTGTTTTGGCTGCATGTCTGTCTGTGTTTCACAGCTGCTTTTACACAAGTTACCAAGAAAACAGAAGTTTAAATTTATCTCTTGTTTCAGTTCATGTGTTCCCCCCTTTTTTTTTCTTTTTTTGTAAATGAAGGATTTCACTTTATATGAAAACACATGTTAAGCTTTAGTAAACAAAACTTGGATTTTAGTTAATTTAATCAAACTTTGAAGCATCAAACTGGTTATCGTATCACAGTGTTTGAAACACTCACCAGTTTATTTTTAACAAGTTTCATGTCTATTTTAGAAAACATTTGATTACTGCAATTTATGCAAAATGTGCTTTATTTTTATGCCAGAACACTGCAATGTTACATTGTATGAATAAATGTCACACCTTCAGTCTTCTAAATAAACATTACAATTAAACAGAAATAAAGAAGTCTTCATTTTGAGCATCCAGGCACATTTTCACTTTAAAAACCTATTTTATTCCTCCCAGACTCTCTCACTTACTTATTTACATAGAAACATAACTGGAAATGTATTCAAAACAGATCCATAACAGCCTGTGCACTCTGTCTGTTTTCCCCGAGGCTCTTCACAATGACACAAGGAACTCATTCACTCATCCAGATTCCTGTTGCAACACCTTCACTCAAGGTTGAAAAAGTTTTGAGGTCACGGCTGCATTTGGATGGTAAAATTAATATTTATTAAGCTTAACATACATGTTATCTTGGGAACAGTATTAATAATTAAAATTCCAAACAGTTCCACAAACATTTATTTACTGCATTTGTTTTATTGGCTCTTTATGCACTTTTAATTAAACTGTGTAAAACTCAACCCAATAGGCTGATACTCTATGATAATAAATACCTTGTGAACTGTTTATTCATATGAATGAAGCAATCGGGCTGCATCTAAAGCTTAAGTAAACAGCTGAAACAATAAGATCATCTGCCTGTCAAACGTAAACAATCAGGTTGTTTTGGAAAAACTGAATAATGTGGAATATCACACGAAATCATGCTGCGTTCAATTCGTCCTGGGAAATTCAACAGCTCTATAAAAACTGGCACTACCATGTGTTGAGTGTAGAGACTGATGTTTTATATTTGTTTAGATATCTTATAACCAAAAGCTATTTTGGTACAAAAAACCTATTTATTACTACTATAAAGTGACAACAAAAACAACTCTTAGAGCTACAGATAGGCCTTCAGATTGTCCTCTGTGACTTTTTTGCTACTCAAATGTTCACCATGCTAAATTTCAGAGGTCACATACATTTGAACATCTCCTACCAGTAATCAGCCTACTTACACTTTGGTGACATTTCCAGCATGGTAGAAGGAACATTAATCCCAAGATTATTTGGTGCGAAATATGGTGCTAAACAATGAAAACAATATTTTAATATTCATAAAATGATAATAATATTTGTCTCACACAGACTACATACTTATTGTTAACTCAGAGTCAACTTAAAAACCTATTTTAGTCATTGGCCTTTAACTGCGTTACTCATCCTTTCTGCTGAAGCTTCTTGTAGGAGTTTATTGTCAAAGTGCACTGTGAAGTTATTTTTCTATTCTCTAATAGGCAGTTTTTCTCCTAAAGGTGCAAAAAAACCAACAAGTTGAAATAATAATTTGTTTAAATAAATTTGTGTACTTAAATAATCTCGTTAGGTAACAGGATATACAGTATATTCTTCTTTGTTTAATGAACTGCTTCAGGTGCTAAACTGTAAACTCCCATATCCGACTTTCTCAATGCTACGTGAACGCCGCATTAAATGGGCGTGTCCAGATGACAAAGTGGGCGGGGCCGGCTCATACAGGTGTTGAGGCTCTAACCTGTGTTGCTTTCAGCCTGTGCGTGACAAACGGGACTTCTGTTTGGTTCAATGGACGCTGAGTCAACTCAAATATAATATCCAGTGTTTCCGTTTATCTGTTTACTTTTATTTATCAGTCGAGTTCTTCTTCCAGGTGCTGCAGGGGACTTTTTATTTTCATTATTGCGCTCGAAATGAAGTTAAAGCTGTTTACAACTTGCACTGAACAACATTCAGCTCGTATTAGTGGACAAGAGTGGACGGGTTTTATATTTTTTAGCCTCGTATGTGAGATTCTTTAAAGAGGAAGCACCTGTCGCACCTGCCCACAGGTGTTTGTGGACTCAGACACCTGCACTTTGCTTCCTGTCCGACCTTAAAGCAGATATTAATAATGAAAGCTTAAAGCACCTTTAACCTCAGAGAAGGACGTTGATTCACAACCTGCTTTTTTAATGTTGGGACTGAAGATGGAGCTGACCGGGCAAAGGGCAAAATGTCTGGCGCTGCTTTTACTAGTTGGTGAGTTTTCTGTTACATTCATTTACATGACAATTCACTGATTTACACATCATTTACTGTCTCTGCTGTCATTATGGGATACAACTGTTAAGTACATGTTGCTTCTTGTAGCCTACTTTAATGAATAGTGACTCTAATATCTCCCAATATTGAGTTGCAGTATGTCTGATATTAAATATTGAGTTAACAAGACCATTTTCCAATTTATATTCTCATTAATATTCCTTTAATATCTCTACAATCTTGGAAGGATTTCAGCTAATAGCAAGCAAACTACTTTCACTGCAGAAGTTTCAAACTGCTTTACAAGAAAACCAAAAGGGGAAATGTGGAAAGAAATAGTAACTTACATTTCCTTTTTATTGTCCATAACAACACTAAAATATTCACCTAAGCACCTGGAGTGAGGCTGTAGTGACTCTTTGTGCTTTTTATGGACAAAAATATATAAGATCTGTTTAATATTGTATTATCTGTATTATTCCCATATGGAAATGTCTCCTGTAGGATAACTATAAATCTATTACCTGCATGTGCCTTTAATCATGTTGTCTGTAGTTAAATTATGTGGCCAAAAGTGTGTGGACACCCCTGATCTTGTGCGTTTCCGTGTCATTTTTGACATGTGGCGGTGTATTATTTTCTGTTTCCAAAGACAGATGATGAAACATTAAAGAAGATGTCAAGGTCTACTGTTAGATTAGTCTGGGGCTATTTTTCCATAGTTTGATTTGGGCCTCCTCCTCCACTCCTTCCACTCTATGTGGCCTTAACTATGTGGACACCCCTGATCTTGGTGGTGCAGTGCATTTCCGTCTCATCTCAATGTGTGTCGATTTTTCTGCAGATAAATAACCAAACAATGAAGATTATGGTTCATTAATGCAGTATACACTCTTTGGCCAAAAGTATGTGGACACCTGTCTCCACTGGTTTGATTGAGGCCTCTTCGTTCCAGCAAAGGGGAAATGCTACAGCCTATGTTGATATTTAAGACCGTGGTGTGCCTCCAACATTGTGGCAACAGTTTGGGGAAGGACATTTCTTGTTTTCACAACTTGTATCAGCTCAACCAGGTCCATCAGAAAATGCTTTTCCGAGCTTGGTGTGGAAGAATTTGCCTGCACCTTTGAGCGAGTAAATGGAAGCCACATCCTAAAGCCACATTAAGAAATCTCCTAGAGCGTCTTTCGGTGTTGTATCAGCAGATTAATGATAAGATATTCAACAATAACATATGGGTTTAATTTGTGTGTGTCCACATACTTTTGGCCCCGTATCTGTCTTTCACCTGCGGGTGTGCAGAAAGAAGCAGCGTAACAGAATGTCGCTCAGTCACATTCTTACTTTTAGTAAACATGAATCAGAACTTATTGCCCAACCTGCGTCTTCCTGTTTTTTTTATGACTAACTCTGTTGCTTTTGTTTCCTTCTTTAGTAGACTGTAAACTCAGACAAAACTGGAACACTATGCTGTTGGAAGTAAAAGAGCAAACGCACATATTAAGACTTTTTTTTCTAAACCGACAACCACAAGTGTGATAAAGTTTCTCAGTGAACAGGAAAAGCTTGTATAGCAGCCTTGTGACGCTAAAGTGAACCCGTGTTTGTCTAATGTGTGTGTTGAGTGTTTAACTCTTCCCTTCAGCTTGGTGTTAATCTCTTTAATCACACTCTCTACTCTGTCTGCATTTCTGTTTGCCTTTTTCTAAAGGCATACTCTTTGTCTGCTTCTGTCTCTTCCCTGTCTTCTCAACTCTTTCTCTTTCCACTCCACAATTAGGTCACCCACACTGTAGTTCTTTGTTGGACAAATTTAAACTTTCTGTGTGTGAGGAGATCTGTTTCCACTCTTTTCTCTGTCACCGTTTTGTCCATGTGTCCTTGCACCAACTGCGTGGGATTTTCTCCTGTGGGAGTCCATGTCCCATATCGGCTGCAGTGTAATCATTGATTGAACTCATGAATCAGTAACCATAGATAAAAAACAGAAAAAAATGTGTTCACCCCAGAAATCAAAGGGCAAATGTTTGGTTTTTCCTGTTTAAGATGTTGATGCATTGCTCTCTCACACCCTTTTTTACTCGTGTGTGCCTTTCCCACTTTTAGATGAAGACTTTTAATCAGGTGTGATAAAAGTGCAATCAGTCTTAGTCATCAGTCGGCATTGACACAGAGTTTTTTCGACAGCTTGAGACTACTGCAGTGTAACTCTTCCACTTTCACACACAAACACGTGTACCATTCAGTGCTTCTGTACAGAGTTGTGTTCCTGTCTGTGTACAAGACAAAGTTGAATTTCTGCACACTGTTAGCACGGCGTTCGTTAAAGGTTCACCGTTTTGGGCATATGAAACAACAACTTTGTACTAAAGCAACAGGCTGCAACTACCAATCGAAAGGAGAGCCAAAGCTTAAATACCACATTCATAACTGATAAAACATTCTTAAAATGAGACAAACGGCATACTGTATGTCAAGGTTCATACAATGAAAAGGAAGAACAGGGAAAAAAAATAAAAAAGGTTTTATCTTTTATCTTTTACTGTTTATCTTTTATCTAAAGTATTTGATGGGAAATTATTATATTATCAGATGATCAGACAATAACTAGTCCAAGTCTGGTTATTGTTATAGAAATAGTTTCTATAATCTTAAGAATAAACAAATTATACACAATCAGTAAACTTCTGAAACATTAAAACAAAGACAACAGAATAATTTACTATCAAGGAATCATGAAGTAAAGAATGTAATGTAACACTACAACTCTAAATCAGTAGCTCTTAATGAACATCTCTGATCACAAACAAAACATTTCTGCTTTTCAAGAAAGAATTATCCCACATAAAAGCTATTGTTCGAGTTGTTAGCAATGTCGGCTCACAGCATGAAGATCTTGAACGTCCCCCTTCTTTGTGAAGGTTGCATGTCAACAGACAAGCAGGTTAGGTGAATCGGCAACTGCCTATAGGTGTGAATGTGTTTGTCTGTCTATATGCAAACCTATCGCCCAGTGCATTATGGCATAAAGTCAAGCCCTCGTGTCTTCCTTAACAGGACTAGATGCATAAAGAATGGATTATTTTTCAAGCACATGAATAAATTGTGTGTGCAAAAAAAGGAAAGTTGGTTTAGGATTTTCATGATGTCTGAAACTGCAGTCTATAAGGAAACTACCTCAGACTGTATCACTGTAGGAATAAAAAGATATGGCTGCACTTAACAATTGTTTATTAATTATTTATAGCAGAAAAAAAGAGGAAAATGGTCACGAAACCCAAACATATTCAATTTGCAAACAGAAAAACGTAGCAAATCTTCAGCATATTTTGATGATTATTAAGATAAGTCAGTGATACAGTTATTGTGAAATGAAAATGTCCTATTGTCCCATATCTTCGATGCTTTATTTGATGAAATTGTCTCGCTTCCCCTCTCCTCTCAGCGGTGAGTGCGCAGGGCGTCTTTGTGGAGCCCCCTCAGCCGGTCACCTCCCTGCGCTCCATGGCAGAGAGTCAGACCAGGCTCCCTTGTCGCTACCAGGTGGAGGAGGGGCAGAAGGTGGTGCAGGTCACCTGGCACAAAGAGCTCCCAGACGGCAACAAGGAACAGATCATCACTTCCCACTTCGAACACGGCACAGGTAGGGGCTGCAGCAACAGCTGAGCGAGTTCTTGTCAAGAGAGTCATAGACAGGGAAGTTTCTACGGTTTCAGTTACTGTAATGTTTGGACACGAGTGCCTGAATGTCACTGAGTTGTACACAGGATCTGTCCTTATCAGGCTTTTGTTTAGGAACTGAACCGTAGACATTTAGGTCAACATGTGATGATTAAATAATACACTGTTCTACCACTGAAATACTGTTACTTAGCTATTATCTTCTTCAAACAAAAGTGCTCCTTTAAATATAATTGAAAAGTAAAATTAAAATAGTATCTGAAATAAATAGGGCTTAGATGACTTCAAATACCACATTTCCGTCCTTTATTTTTATGTTATGTTGCAGATAAATGGATCTTAAATGGATGTGAGTTCAACTAAAGAAGAAAATTACTGACATAAAAAATATTCAAGAAACAAACTTCAAAATGTGCAACTGTATTCAAAGCACGTCATTTACATTAAAGCAGGAACAAGGAACTTTAATTTTTTTGATGCTTCTGGTGGCCATTAGGCAGGCATTAAGAATAACTACACAGAAACAGTCTGTCAGTATCTGTTTTTTAAGATTTCTCAATGGTGTGGCCACCTAAACTTTATCTTTCTCAGCAGCAACATAAACTGTAATTAGCACTGTCAGTTGACTGGCTACTGCGGTCAGACTGTATATACGGCTTAATGCCAATTGCAGACCAGAGTCTTCACCATCCCAAAATTAATACTACACTTATTTTGAATTGTACAATGCAACAAAAAAACTTTTTTTTATTTCTTATTTACTATACAAAACTCATCTAAAAGACATGCATTTAGTAAGATTCACCATTTATCCAGGCGTTTATCCCAGCGGAAAATAAGGAAGGACGCAGTAAATCAGCGAAAATATACAATATTATTACTTTTCTGCCTAATTTGGCAGCAGATATTGAATGGTTGTCACAGATTGAGACATTCAGTGACTGATAATCAAAACCAATGTCATTCAATTTATCAAAACTGGATTTTCACATTATTATTCGGTCCCAGCTCTCTGATAAAAGTCTTGTTTACTGTGTGATTTTTTAAATGAGATCATACCAGGAGACTGTGTAGTCTGTGCACCTGGATTATTAGTCTGTAGGGTGGGGTTGTGACATCAATGGATAAATGCAGGTTTATGTCTGTTTCCCTTCTTGGAATGAATGCGTGTGACTAAGTATTTCTCACTGGGAATACACTGTTTTCATATTTGTAAAGTGTAATTGTTTTG